ATTTTTGCAAAAAGAAAAAGCTACATTAGCGTAAAAGGGCAATAACTGGTAGGTGCAGTATCTGTATTCTTAGGTGGATGAGTAAAAAATGTTCCCATTATGAATTAAAAATATGGGTTCCTCTTTTGGGTTAATAATGTCCACTTTTATTGAGCAATTTCTGTAGTATGTCATTAAACATTTTCTTACTGAAGAATCAAGTCTGTTGATCAAAGCAGTTCGCTTGATGGTCAAAGCCAATTTTAAACTATCAAACTGATGGCGACAGATGTCCACATCGTCTAAGAGGCTTAAGCACCATGGTTTATTAGCATATTCATTTGAACAATTTATTGGCCCGGTCATTTGAACTATTAGCCAATTACGCTTGGTTATTAGCCAATTACGCTTGGTTGTTGACTAATAGTTCAAAATAAACCTTCGCCATATGCAGAGCAAAAATTTCTTTGCGTGCAATTCTGTTTTTTGTATGGCATCTTTCTTCTCATCTGGGCTCAAACACCGTCTTTTTTAAGTAACATAAGCATAGAAGACTAAGAAGAATGGCATAAGAATTCTTCTCTCATCACCACTCACTAGGAAAGATCCACTTCCATTTCTTGTAAACAGAGAAATGCACATCGATACTCGTTGTCGGACGGGTTTCAGCTGTGAGTTCATTGTTGAATATAAACAGCAGTAGCAACAAATTTTTCCCTTCATTTCAAGGAACGTATTTCTGTTCAGTGCACTCATTGAAACCTCTCTGGTAATTTTTTCAATTCCTGATACGTAGAATTTGATCTTACCAGCATCTTCATCACATTTCACCTCCAGTAACTGCCCAATTCTCGGCTTCCCTCGCGATTAAAACTGTCACTTTGAAACTCGTAAACCGCTTTTGACATTGACATTCACTCACAGTCCCTAGGTACACTAAACTCCAGCGTGGCTGCATGGCCGTTTTCTCCACGAGCCAGTTTCCCTTATAAAGTCCTCCACGAAGTCATCTCTTTCCTTAGACAGATATCCCTCAAGTGCTTTTTCATGATTAAATAAACCAAATCAAACCGTAGTTTTCCGATAGGTAACTATTGCATTTGCGCTACCAGAAGCAACCATTCCGGGAATGGGACTATTCGAGGTGGCCGTTTCGCCGTCAAAACATATTTCTTTACACACCTGTATTACATCTTGCCGTATTATTTTGAGTTGATTTAAACTAATAACTCTGTTCAGTTTAATAATTTAATTTGATAAAAAATTTATTTAAAATAATATATAAAATGTTTTTATGTATAGTTTTAACCGTTACACATGACATATTAATTTTAAGAGAGTAAGATGCAGACAGATTGCAAAGTAATTCCGTTTTCCTTTCACATTTCATAAAAATGTGAATTTCCTGCTTGTATGAGTAATTTGTATGAATTAGCTGATTAAAATTTCAAGAAAATTTGACGAATCGTATAAATATTGCACCCGCATAATTTTAAAATCGATAATATAACTTCTGTTACATCAGAAGTTTAGTCCCAGTTCTTTTTGCTACTGACATAATTTCCCAACTATGTGTAATTTCTTTACATCTCATATTTGTAAATAACTATATACGTTATATTAAAAGCAACTTTATTAAGTATATAAAAGGTAAACAGAATTATTAAACTAAATGAATTTATTACGAGTATATAATACAACGAGATAAAATACAATCACGTAAAGAAAAATATATCTTTACGACGAAACGGCCTCTTTTAGTACACATTTGAACTATATTATATTATGCGTGGCACTTAAATTTTACTCCTTTAAAGAATTTTTATTATTCAATGTCTTTTATCAAACTGCTGTGAAATTATTTTGCTTGGGTAGCAAATGCACACCCTGTTTCATATTGGTCAAAGACACCTCATAAAAAGGAAAATATTTTTCGAGATGAAGGGAAGATAAAAAGTTAACTCAGTGGGCCTATTTTATGAAATTTCTTGTAATCTTCATCAACTCAAATATTCACCTAAGTATTTTAGAACAGCAGACATTAAATATAGCTTCACATTGCCAAGTTTGATTCGGTTAAAATCATATTTACTTGCAAAGGAAAGAGAAATTCCAAGTTATGTTTTCTTTTTCTCCAGAAAAACTCGTGCATAGTTTTAAACAATACTTTTTTAGTCCAAAGGGGCTGTTTGCCCAGAAGGACTATTAATTTTGTTTTGGCATTTTGCGTTGATTCACTACAAGCGTTGTTTCACTTTTCAAACTGTTGCCACCAAATATTATCGCCCTATATTATATTTAAAGAAATCAAATAATGAAGAATCTGCATAAATGTATGTATGTTTCTCGCACCGTCAACAAATTTTAAATAACATAGTCCTCCACCTGAACAAGGAAGCCTGGAAGCCCGACTTTAAAGTATATTTTATTGCCTATTTCTTATTTTGTAAAGCTTTAACGAATTTTTGATTAACAAAGTCAAGGATTTCAAAGCGAGCAATGGCAATGTTGTACAGAAAAGACAATTTTTTATCTCCAGCGCGCGAGACTGTGTATCGGAAAATCTACAGATATGCTCATTTAAAAAATATTTTGCAATATTGCTGTTCAACTGAATTTTATGGTTTAAGTGCGAAGAACGTGATATTTAATAAATAAAGGTAACACATAAAACGTTAAAAAAAAAGGCCCCTTTGGGTGTAATATAAAACATGAAAGCTTTCAGAATTTTTTTAAAATTTAAATTTTGATTTATTCTTCTTTCTCACCTTTTCTGGGAGGAAAAAAATAAAAGTGCTTTTTAAATCCCCTAAAAGCATAACGTTTTAAAATCACGTCCATTCTAACAGGAATTTCTATCTTTCAGAACACCGCGATCTAGATTAGCTCTAAAATTCATTAATAATAAATATAATAAGAAAAAAATCGTTAAAGTGTTACAAAATATGAAAAGTTCCAAATTAGGGCTTCAAGATGCCCATATTCGGTGCAGAATTAAGTTATTAAAAAATTTGATTGCTATAGGTACCGTTCTTTTATCACAATGCGAGAAATATACATACATTTATGCAGATTCTTCATTATTCAATTTCTTTAAATATAACACACGACGTTTATATTTGGTGGCAACAATTTGGAAAGTGAAGCGGGCATTTAAAGTTTTCAAAACGAAATTAATAGTCCTTCTGGACTAAAAATGAATTTTTCACAACCAAGCCAATATTATTTAAAAGTAATACTTAGTAACGAATATTATATGAATAACACCTAATTTTTATAACAATTTTTAATACTTAAGCCTCACATTTTCAAGCAAATTTTCAATATTAGTATCAGTTTTTTTTTTTTTTTTTTTTTTTGTGAATACATAAATTAATTAAAAACCTGCAGAAAACTAAAACCGTTAAAGTAATATTTAATAATCTATAATTATTGATGAATTATTAATATACCTTTAGTCTAACTACCCAATATTTTCGAAAACGGCGCCCAGATGTTATAGCGGTTAGGGGAGACTACTGCGATACCAAAAGGTCCAGATTCGAATGCCGGGAAAAGACATGGATGTAAACTACTTGTCCCTTCAATCCCCTTGAAATTTCCTGTTGCTGGCTTTGATTGCTTATGCATACAATATATTATGAAATTTTTATAATTATAAAACTGATTGCCATTCTTATCTAATCACGTATGACAAAGTACAACTACTTTGGACTGTTAAGATAAATTGCTTAGGAACTCATCTTAAGAAGAAAACCCTTCATGCTGTTAATCAAATATAGGAAGTTACCCAACAGTACAAATGCTGATTTAATTACAAGCACTAAATTCGACGTTATTACTATTTAATAAATAATGAGGGGTAAAAATAACTGAGTCCCATAAAAATTCTCTATAAAAGTTAGGAGAGAAAATTATATCAAATTTATTTCAACTGTACATAAATAAATTGAATAATAATTGCGGGAAATACATCGTCGGAAAATAAATCTTACAACGACAGTAATATTATTTATACGAAGAAATTAAAGGACAATAATTATTTTACTACTTGAAAGATGATACGCATAAGTAACATACTTTTACTATTATTAAAAAAAAAAAAAAAAGTTAAAAAACTTAGATATTTTCAAACTTAATTCTTCTCTCTTGCGAAACGTTCAAGTTTTTCCCGACTGCCTAATGTAAATATAACAACATAAATTACACTGTTAAACAATTTTAAATCTTCGATTATTAAGATATAGTGAAACTTCTCATTGCACTCATTCTGAAAGTGACAGTATTTCTGAGAATATAAATAAACATTAGGATCTGAATCCAGACTTCTATTTTTCAGGCGACAGTCGGCGTGACTGGTTATTCTAAGGAGGTTTCACTCTGCTTAGAGACTCGCACATATGAAAATGTATTTTAGTGATCAAAATTAAGAAAGTACAGATGAGTTATGCCGAATATTACTTTTTATTATCAACAAAGGCACGTGTTTCAGCTTGATATAAAAAAAATAATAATAAAGACCGAAGATAACAAGACTAAGTGAAATACATTCGTCGTCAATGTATTTTTTCACTTTCGATATTCGAGAATTACATACAAAATTTAAATCTCAAAATTCCCGTTTGTAGCTGAACACACACACACACACACATACATACACACACACACACACACACACACACCAAAAAAAAAAAAAAAAAAAAAAACTATTTTTAAACGACCCCACTGGCGAAGAACACTTACGGTATCAAACGGAAATTTTTAATTCTGAAAACGACAACAAAATTCTAATCCTTTTATGAACCCACACCTTTTTTATTTGCTCATACACAAAGTTTTCATATATTTAAAAGGAGCAAATTTTGCAAATCAGGCAAAATTTCTGTTAAAACAATTACTAAATTTCTCATTATAAAGCCAAACAAGAACTATAAACAGTTATTTTTCCATAAATAAATGACAGCTCGCCGCGTTCATTACATTGTGAAAAAAGAACAATAATAAATTAAAAGAAAACTCACATCTAATCATTTCCTCTCGTTTCAGCCCTCAAGCCAGCCGTAGGAATGGTTAAGTCCAATCAGATAAGCATCATTTCCTGCTGTCTTTTAACTTTTCGCTCTTCTTCATTAAAGTAGCACCTAAATGCCCTTAACAATCTTCTTCTGGCACAAGCTCTCTCCGTTAGTACTTCCTAGTGTTCGCCTCCAACCACGTGATAAGCACGCAAAGCTGCCACTAGAGTTTATAAACGCTAGTGAAAAAGTTTTCTGTCTCAACCCACTTGAATTCGTGGCAACCCGCGCACTTTTCTCCGTCTGCCAGAACTTGAAAAGAGACTTTCGTTCTAGTAATGACGTCAACCGAAAAGTACCTAATCACAGAGCCAATGGAGAAAAGAAGGTGGAGCTAGGCTAGATCGTTTAGTATTCAACTAATTCCAAGTTAATATTCTGGATTATTCTACATTTAATAATTTTGAGAAAGCTGCTCGTGTTTTGTTAACATCCACGAGAATGTCTAAATCGAATTTAAATATGCTGCAAAAATTCATTAATTAATTAAAATACGTTTTAAGTAATATTAACAATACCATTAAATCGCATAGCCCAATGTATTGAATTACTTATAATAATGCACCACGTATTCTTTTTTTCAAAAAAAAAAAAAAAAAAAAAAAAAAGTTTTCTCATTGCATATATATTTTGTAAATATTACTTTTCTAATAAAAGTACCTTTCACTACACACACACACACCAAAACAAAACACAACAAACAAAAAAAAAAAAAAAAAAAAAAAAAGTAAGGCCAAAAGATATAATTTTGGATTAACTATCTCTTTAGGATGAGATGTATTATATCTTTTCAATTTAAATTATTCCCAAACTCGGTGCAAACTTAAAGTTGGGTTTAATATTAAATTACTTTCTTTTTCTATTTGCAGCAGATTACTTTCTGATATTACAGAAACACAGATTTTTGGCTGTTTCCTAAATTTAATTTATAGTAAGTAACAGAAATAAAGATTTTAATTGTGTTTTCTAATTTAAATTATTCCCAAACTTAATGCATTTTGGGTTTTATATTAAATTACATTCTTTTGCAATAGATTTCTTTTTTTCATAACAGAAACACAGATTTTCGGCTGTTTCTTCAATTTAATTACTGGTACATAACAGAGATAAAGATTACAATCTAAAATAATCTCATGTTAAAATTATACTAAACACATTTGTGTTTTTTAATCTAAATTATTCCCAAACTTGTGGCATTTTGATTTTATATTAAATTACATTCTTTTTATTTGCAGTAGATTTCTTTCTTACATTACATAAACACAGATTTTCGGCTGTTTCATCAATTTAATTACTAGCACATAACAGAAATAAAGATGATAATCTAAGATGATTTGCATGCCTGACTAGCATACAACCTTTTCTTTTCTGTAAATGCTAGTTCCCCAATAAATAATTTGATTCACTAAAACAAATCCAAATGAAAACTTTAATTTAAAATCAAATTTGAAAACAAAAGTCCATGAAAACTAAAATTTCTATTTCATTATATAATTAAAAGCCTTGAAGGCAAAAATTTTAACATGCTTTACGAACTGCTGAGAGAAACTTTAATTCGTACGAATGGATGAAAGGTATCTGAAGATACACTGCCTTCCAAAAGTTAAGGAACAGTATGTTTTGTGCATCTAATTTGAGAATGAAACAACATAGAAACACTTAACTTACAAGACATGTTCACTAAACAGTTCTTTAATGAATGCGACATAGAATGTTTCTAAAGTTCAACACAAACATGAATTACAGTAAAATATTACACTTTTGGAGAAACAGTACATCACAGTTTTTGAGGAACAATGTGGTGTTAACATTACAAAAATGGAATCTGATAAGGAATGTGTCCACGGGTAGCTGCAATACATTAGCGGCAGCGACGTGCCATTCTGAGAATTAAGTTGCCAGCCAGTGAAATGGGAAACAACGATCAGATCAGACAGGGAGTAATCCTTGTCCAAGCTCAGCTACGAATTTTCGGCCAGGACTTAAAGCAGCAACCTGTCTCCCAAGGTAGTCCCAAAGATGCTTTATCGGATTCAGGCCTGGGGATCAACCTGGCCATTCCATCCGCTTCATACTATATTCTTCAGCAAACCGAGGTCGGTGCTGTGGCGCATTGTTGCCCATTAAAAGAAATCCAAGACCAATAGCAGCGGTATTTATGGGCTGACATATCAATCAAAGATCTCGTCTCGATACCTCACATCGGTCAAAGCTTCTCCATGGAACATATGCAGGTCAGTGTGACCACAGAGAGAGATCCCTGCCCAAACCATTATTTCATCACCTCTGTAACTCTGTATTTCCACAATGTGCGATTGGTTGTATCTGGTGCGTTGTTCCCTCCAGATCCAGCTGAAGATCTGAATCACTCTCTAATGTAAACCTGGACTCGCTCGTGACACGAACAGATACCTGTTGTTAACTGGTCTAGAGAGTTGTTAACTGGTCTAGAGAGTGTTGCTAACTGGTCTAAGAGGCGTGTTCTCTTGCCCAACATAAACGGGCACCTCTGTGTCCTCGGATCAAGGAGACACAAATAAATGGTCATCTAGCATATAAACCTGTATTGTCCAGGCATCTGCGCACTGTAGTAGCTGAGATTCTTGTTTATGTTGCCAGTAAATGATCTGCCATGAGATAAGCCACAGTAATGTTGCTCTTATTCCGCAGTAGCTAGTCATTTTTAATTCAAGAGCATCATGATCAGATGTGGACACAACATGACTTTCTTGTACGCCTATTTAAAGTATAGACATTTTTTTCTACACTTCCTTTATTCCCTTGAATTATTCTCAATTAACCGATTCCTCAAGGCAAGTTGAAAATGACATCAAAAACTTCAAATTCTAAAATTAAATATCCCGCTCAGTTTTTGTCAAATAGGAGTCAAATTTCTTGTATCTTTATTTTTTCATAATGAATGTAAAACTTTTCCAAATAGAAGGGCCCGGGAGACCCCATTAAGAGAAAGATTTCGTTATTCGTCCAAAATTTATTATTATTATTCCTTCAAACTGCCAAAACATGAATATTTTCGTCATTTAAAGTCCTTCTGTGACTTTCTTTATTTCTGTTATGTCAACGACCAACGATTCCGAAAATAAAGACGGGATAAGGGGGTATATATAGAATACATATAATTTAGGTACTCCAGATTGCAATAAAAAAAAAAGAGATGTGCATAACTAGATGTTATAGCAGTCCCATATACAAAATTTCAATGTCCTTTAAATTATGCGAGATACATACGTACGTACAACTATCATAAAGAAAAAATCCATTTTACAAATTGTCCTTTATTCTGTCCTTACGTACATACGTCATGCAAAAAAATCCTCCAAATGGATTCCGGGAGGGCCAAAATCAAAATGAATATTTCTGTTGAAATCTGAAACCCGAAATTTTTCATTATTGCATTACTTAACTTCGTACGAGGAAGTGCAAATGGCAATAAGAACTCCGAATCACGTGAAAGGTATTGCGGAGGATTAGTAAAGGTCGCTTTCATTGTATTACATTTTCATCTGTGTATTATATTACTGTTTCTGTCATAGATAGCATGTATGAAACAATTGGCTAGAGGTTCTGAACCTGTTTAGCCCCATGCACCCATTTTACCTCCTTTTTCCAAAATTTAAAAAATAACATATACATCCAGTTATTTAGATTATTTTTTACGCATTTCATAACTTAAACAGAAAGTATAAAAAAATCTTTTTAAATACCACAACCTGAATAAAAATAGTTTTTAAACTAAAACTATATACAGATAAATGAAAGCCTCACCCCCCAGGGCTAAATGGATTGCTAGATTTTCAACTACAAGGATTCAAAACTTTTATGATAAGCATCATGGTTATTCCTGATCATTCTTTATAATTCTTTTTTCGTAATAATTCTGAAAACTTGATTTCTTGATCTTTTATTTCTGTCAAAATATCCAACATCTTTCTGACCATAAAGGAAGAGGTTTGGTTTATTTGATTCCGGCAAAGCACTCAAGGTCTATCTTTCAAAGGGAAGGAATGCCTTCTTGGAGGACTTTCGAAGGGAGACTGCCTCGTATATACGTTACACGTGGGAGAAAACACGAAAAAGCTCATGTAGCCAGCCCGTTCGCCAGTATTCGAACTACCAGTGTTCAGCGGTTTTACCGTTCGGCCGCTCATAGGCGTACATATAGGAAGAGATAATTTCGTTTGATGTTAATGGCAGTCTTAGTTTTAACGATAAATAAATAAGTCCTCATTATTATTTTTTAATAAGTTCTCATTAAACAATAATAATTCGCTGTATTTAGAGAACTCGAACAGTGAATTCTGAAATTCCATCGAAGAGCTCATTTACTATTTGTCACAACTTAAAATGACAAGATTTCACATCGGCTTTTGACACGATTTTTCCCCGGGAATTGAAAAACCAATCATTAAGTATAATTTACTATGTATGATTTTCTAGATTTAAAAACATTTGCCAAATCGAAAAACAAATTCATATTTGTATCTTGCAAAATTATTACTCGAAAACATACACGGAATTTTAATGAATGAATCTTATAATACGATTTCATCCGAAAATGGTAACCGACTTCAGAATGAAATTAGCCATTTTTTAAAACACAGAGCAATTTGCCATTTAAAGGCTTATAAATTGGTACGCAGGCGATACTAGAACTAATATGGAGGTAGGAATGACGTCAGGCGATTGGTAGTTTAAGGATACTACCGCCTACTGGTGGGATCGACGCCCGGCATTCGTCAACTGACGTCTTTCGAATCGCGTTGTTTATTTTGGATGAGGTATGGTAATTGTCCTTAGCTTTTGTTAAAAATTCTTTTTATCCAAAAATTTTGAAATGCTTTATTTCTTGAAAAAATGCATAATAGTATACGAGTTTTTGCCATCTCTTTTTTAAAGAAAATAAGTAAATCTTTAAGCAAAGAACTTTCACCCGTTTTCTTAATAGAAATTAAAACAATCATTAATATTTAATCGCCTAATCATATATATATATATATAATTAAACGATATTAATAAAAGGTAACAATCTGAGGAAACTAAATTTTAACTTTCAGCAATTGAAGATAAATACTCGTGAACAAAACTCACAGTTTTTGCATTTTTTCTCCAACAGCTTTATAAGCATTTATTTCTATAAAATGAAAGTGATAATTATTGCTGTTGCACATATTTTCTTAACATACCTTACTATGA